GAGAGAGAGAGAGAGAGAGAGAGAGAGAGAGAGAGAGAGAGAGAGAGAGAGAGAGAGAGAAATAGAAAGCGCTCCAGTATGGCTCCTCTCTCTCCTCTGCACATACTTCACATGGTCTGTGCCACTGCTTTCCATCCTCTCTACAAGAAACTTAACTCACTACAACCTCAGAGTTATTTTCCAACATATAAATAAGCTTCAGACTGCCTGTGTCCAAATGGAGATGAAGCAATTTTTCAATACAAAGCCTAATACACATATTCAAGTAGAAATTTCTTTCATAAGTTGATAATCTGGTACAGACTGCAACTACATTCAGGTATAGTTGGAAATGAAGTTCGGTAAAGTCGTAAGTGGAGAGATTTGGCCCAGTACTATTGATGCCAGTTTTCAGAAGAAACCTTAGGCAGGTGTTTTCTCCCAAGTGAAGTCACAATGAGGAAACACCAATTAGAAAGCAGGGAAGATGAACACTGGCAGGACTCAGGTGTTCTAGACCCTCTCCTGGGGTTTCTACCTCAATAAGGAACACATATTTTTGCAGTTTAATTTATTCAATGTTTGATGTTGGCAGTGCAAGATAATCTAGGTAGTAGAATTAGCATAATCCCAGTGTTTCACTAACAAGATTATTAGTTGGACAGTCATTTGCTTTGTTCCTAAGAATACTCATGGATATATAAAAAGAAAGGTCCATGTTAGAGAAACACCAGCACAGTAAAAGTTTGGATGCTATGACTTTGCAGATCTATATGTTTATGTGTCCTGCATGCAAACAGGAAGAAAGTACATTCTTTCTTTGGATTCTGGTTTAAAAACAGGGCTTACAAAGCATTATTTTTGTGGGTTTACAACTTGGCCTTGCTACTCAGTAGCTGTGTTTCTACAGGCAAATTATTTAGTATCGTTCTAAGCATCAGATTATTTATTGCACAAATGGAGATAATAATAGTATCAGTCTCGGCAGTGTTACAAGAATTAGATGAATCAACCATCCATTCTTAAAATTGTGCCTGTTGGAAAGGCTTCATGGAGTTTAATTAAGCATTCCACACACCCACGTAGAGAGATGTGATATGGCTCTTGTCTATCTCTGGCACACACTTCATGGAGTCTCTGTGACTACCTCCCTTTCTCTCTCCATGAAACTCAATTCACTAAAACCTCAGAATCACTGCCAAACACATTGGTCACTTGAACATAGAAAATCCCTGGAAATAACTAGGAAATGAATCAAGGGAGGAGTTCAGAAGGGAATTACAAAGCAGATCAAGATTAAATTGAAGAAAACACTGGATGAAATCTATTGATACACAAGGGTTGAGAATTCTATGCTCTTTATAATCTTCATACAACTCTTACTATTACGCCCAACTCTCACTATTACTTTGAAGAAAGCTACTCCCCTCCCCCCAGGAAACTCATTCTTATTATCTGAAAACTCCTTTTTTTTTTCCTTATGTTCTTCATAACAGGTCTTAGGTTTCAAGAACAAGTAACTGTAACAAGAAATTTCCAAAGTATTTTTAACAACAATTAAAACTTTTTTGTTTTCTTTTTTTTTTAACAATTCAATTTCCTTCTTCTGTATTTAGAACTCATATTGCTAGGGTAACCCCAATTTAAACTACCTGATCTTCTCTAAGAGTGAGATGTTTTCGATAATTCAATATGTATTTTATCCTACTTACCTCCTTCTCTCCCTAACCGCTCCAGACCAACGTCCACTGCTCCACCACAGTCAATGTTTGGTTTTTTTCTTTTTAAATAGCCCACCAACTTAACAATTTGTGCTGCCCATATACTCATGAGTATGGTACCATCCACTGCAGTGTGGTTCCCTTACCAGAGGCCACACTCTTAAACAGAACAGACTCTTTGCTCTCTAACAGCCACCTGTAGCTCCTCATTTGGGAGAAGGTATAAGCCCCTCCAAACTCCATGCAAGAATGTTAACTTCTAGTATTTTATATCATCAAAAATTGAGTTCCTCTTACACATTTAACAGAGGGACAGAAGTCTATCAGTGAGTAAGATGACAACTACTCAACTTATTTGCTCACTGCCAAGAATGGGTGCATTTAGACCACCTTCTATCATTACATCCATCAGGCTTGATGCTGTGTAAACTGTAATATTTCTAAAGTGCTTATTCATCAACACAAGTGACTGATGTTGTTGTTTATAACAAGCTTTTGGTGGCCCGCATGCTTTTTGTGCTGTCTTTGTAAGACTCTGGAGATATCATCACTAACTTCACTCCACCAGACCTTTCAGTTTAATGAATGAAAGTGATATAAAATGTTGAGCTTTTCAACTTGACTGTGTTTGAAATAGGCATCAAGTAGTCTATGTGGAAGGATATTTCTAAGTACTATGTAATGGGTAAAAACACATAATAAGTATATCTACGGACTCGACCGGGATAATAAAACTGGGGTTCCCTTTACTTCTAGCTACTGACCTGACCTCACTGATTTGAGAATATCTGAACAAGACTAAAGTAAATAGAGGCAATCTGGGCTGAAAGGTGGGGGATCATTATTTATTTAAATAACAAAATATGTGTCAGATTGCTTAACATAATAGGAAGAAAAATATTAGTTAGGTGTGTACTTCAGTGGATAGTCATGTCCTTAGCATTTATGATCCTAGAATTGATCCCCAGCACAATAAATAAAAAAATTATGTAACAACATCAAACAAAAAAGTCAACTAAAAACTAATTACAAAACCAAGTAAATTAGACTCTAAGAAGATTTGGGTTTTGGGATGCCATATCATGTAAGTGTCTAACGTAACAGCTAATCAAATTCTTCAATAAATTTCTATGAATTTTTTATGTCATTATATGAATATATAATATATATATAATGAATATATATGAAATAAGAACAAATGTATATATATATATATATATATATATATATATATATATATATATGATGTATATATGAAATATATAGTCCAAATACAAATAAAATTTAAGAGCTCTTGATCTATGGGTTCTATGGGAGTTCCAAATTTTCTTCAGTCAAGAACATTATGTGAGGCAATTTTAATTATCCTATAACTAAAATAATTAGAGAGCCTCTAACTAATTGTTTTGGGTTTGTACTTTTCCAGCTTTAGTATTTCATTTACTTAGGAATAAATATGCTAAGTGACATTATCACCCTGCATATAATTAAAGCAGTTCATCTCTAGTAGATATGGCTCATAAAAATTCTAATCCCCCCAATGTAAACAATGAAGAATAGTTACACTCATTATGGAAATCTAGACTTTGGGTAGAAATTTCTAGACTATCCCTTCTATTATTCTATATGAAATTATGGTCACGTACTATTGAATAGAAATGTTGCACGAGAACCCAGACAAACAAAACAAACAAAAACTAGGATCTATGGGGGAAAAACAATTCTCATGGTGGGGGTCTTCCGCCATTAGTAAGAGTAACACACAGATGATCCCGTCTGTTAAGCAGAACTGCCTCAGGAAGAGCATTTTCCCTTAATGTCACAACTTGTTGCTTGGGTGCCTCAGAGTGGGTTGGCTATGCCGATGGTCCATTCTGATGTGCAAGGAAAGGGACAAATTGCTGTAGACCCCGAAAGCACAGCAGGGACATAAACAGTTTCAAGGACTCCCAAGCTCCTAGCAAAAATGGAACCCCACCCCCGCCCCATGAAACTCATCAACTCTCCTCTTCTTGCTTGGAATCCTATCAACTGTCTTTGGTGTAAAGATAATGTGATACGAATTTATCAGTCAGTCTACAAATTATGTTAATAGGAAATTCTTCCCTACTTTTGAAGGATAATTTGTGTTTATCTCCATTTTTCATTGTGCAAAGCCATTGCTTGGCTTCAATCAGCAGAGAGAGAGAGAGAGAGAGAGAGAGAGAGAGAGAGAGAGAGAGATTGATTTTAAAATATTTTAAATTCTATCATCATCTGATCTCTAATCCATGAGCTGAAAGACTCTAGCCTTCCAATAAACAGTGATAATACCCTAAAAAGTTAAGTCAACTTTGTTTTTATTTATTATAAGAATCTCTCTGCAGAGGAGAAGCACACATGATTTATGTAGCACGACAGAACTTTAATCCACAGCTCAGGAAAGGGTGCAAAAGCAGCTTGAAAATTATGCTGAGCTTAATTATACTTAATGTGAATTATTCAGAAGTGCAGACAGAGACTAAAAATTTATTTCATACAAAGAAGCTTGACATTTTAATTGGTCCTTCAGAATAGAGACAAAACAATTTCCTCTCAAGAAAATTTACATCTTCCCTATCAGACCCACAGCCTCAGCCAAGCAGAACTTCATTAACAAGATTAATCACGCCAATGTCGACTCCATCAGGTGTATGGCCCAGGTGAAAGGAAGAATACAAAATAATGATTGACATTTTCAATAGCTACACCTGCTGGAAAGAAGAAAACAACAATAGACACGCCACCATACCTTGGTCATTAGCCATTTTGTCAGGGTGTTCCACTGTAAGAGAGAAAAAAATAAATAAATTATATTATTACCATTTAGAATTTCTTATAAGATATCTGGCTTGTCATGTCCAAAACTTTGTCATAATTTTTTTGGATAATCAATCAGAGTTAGTGAACCCCTGAAATTAATGGGTTTTGCTGAGTTAATATGTTCTAAAATGTAGTTGTCATGTTTTTTCTAAACATAAACTCATTTTGTAATTTTCATTAAAATGGAATTGATAATAAAAAGAATGGATAGTGCTAGCAATTTATGTTTATTCTAAGTAAGTTATAGGAGCTGCACACACACACGCACACACACACACGCACACACACACACACTATAATATATATAATTTATACTTTAAAGGTATACATATATATGTATATATATAGAAAATAACTTAGACTATAAATGTAGACAATTCCTAATGAACCAGGCAAACTAGTATTATATTATAAGAGGGATGACTGTAATATGAGATCTGAGACTTGATGAGGTTGGCTCTTGATTTGTTCACAAATGCAGAAGAGTTATGAATAATCAGTGGTCACAACTTCTTATATAAATGAAAAGTCATCTCCAGCATTCTTAAAATTTGACTTCATTTGACTTCATTTCCTTGAACAAATGACAATAAAAACTAAATTAATCCTATCGCAGTTCTCATAGCAGTCTTAAGGAATTTTTGGCCAATCTACTCCTTTGTAAGTTTTCATCAATTATAATTAATTTATGCATACATGAATTTCTTTGAATTTTGTGGGCTTAGGGCCTATTTAACTTGTATGCAAAAGTTCACTTGCTTCTTGTATAAACCTCATTGAAATTTACAGCATTACAGATATGCAGTAATGTACAACATAGACATCCATTCATTCTGTGTACCACTCTTGCTGCAAATCAATTACCGTTGTTTGAAAAATAAATAACCTATAGCAAATATTGAGGGTTGGCTATTGGCTTGTGTTTTGTTTGATCTTTCATTGGATTCATTACATGTAGTCTGTACAGCGAATCAAAGGGTTTTGTTTTTCATTTGTTTGTTTTGTTTGTTATTGGTTTTTTTTTTTTTTTGAGACAAAGTCTTTCCTGGATCACAGATATCTGTCTCTGCTCCTGAGTGCTGAGGTAAAAGCTTAAGCCATCTTATTCAGGGGCGAATGAGTACAATTTTAAACAAAGGTCTGTAGTCTGTGAAGAAATACACTGTGCCAGGCTTCCAGCAATAAGGAGGCAGAATACTACAACCTGGGAAGTCTGTATGTTTGGGACCACACAGAGCAGGACACACTCATAAAGCTGTTCAAATCGGCATTTTACATCTGGTGGAGAGGTGTGTTTGATGAGACTGTGTGAGTTAATGAAACAGAGGAACAGAAAAACAAAATGCACCAAAAGAATAAAGCCAAATTCATTTCCTGTTCATCCTGTAACTGTTCCTTTATTGTTAATTGTATTGATTTCACTGTCTGAAGTCATAGGTATTTTTGTATGTGCATGATAAGTATACTATCTCCAGATTTGCTTTTCTGATACTAAAGTTACACTTGATAGTGTGAAAATTTTCCAGTCTTAAAAAATGTTTACTGTTTGGCTGTGGTGGCATGTGACCACCACTGAGGAAATAGAGGCTAGAAGATCTCTACCATCAATGCTATCCTAAACTACATATTTGCTTTCAGACCAGCATAGTCTACATAGCCAGACCTTGTCTCAAAAGAAAATGTTAATAAACATTATCTTTCAACAAATGGAAGAGACCAAATGGAATCTAAGTGTTACTTTTAATCACATACTTGTGGTCTGTGATTTGAATTTGTAATTGTTCATGTCAAGTGAACAAAACTTCCATGTGTTTTGTCAAATATATGAACTCTAAGCCATTCTTCCAAAGGTTTCAGTGTATTTTATTTCTGGGTGGAGGAGAGGCATATTTATAAATACCAATTAAGGATGCCCAGAGAATATATTATACTTAATTGGGAATTCATTAGTGAGTACTCTGCTCCTCTGGGCATAGGAAATAACCTTCTCCATCTATAGAAAATTTCTGTGGTATACATCTTGTGAGCACCTTTGGTGTCTAGTGTATATCACAGGTGTGATGGCTATTCTCAGTTGTCAGCTTGATTATATTTGGAACTAAGTAAAACCCAAGTGGCTAGGCACACCTGTGAGAGGTTTTTTTCTTGACTGAATTTTTTGAGGTGGAAAAACCCACCCTAAATCTAATTCTTTTGAGGTGGGAAGTTCCAGGTTAAATCTGGGCCAGAGCTACCATATACAGCCTGTATTTAAAAAATAGGAAAGAGGGAACTTCTTGCTCTTGGCCTGTTTTCCCTCACTATTCCTTCACTGGAATTAGAACCCCCTTCTTCAGGATTCTGCTGGCATATACTGAAGACCATCTGAGACTTCTATTCTTGTAGACTGAACAACTACTGGATTATTGGATTTTTCCATCAGGAGACAGCCATTGATGAAATAGTTGTGCCATTACTTGTAAGCCGTTCATATAGATATAGATATTTATAGATATATGATTTATAGATATATGGTCTCATGTAGTCAGCACATATTATACTATAGGTGAGAAGTATTATATATGTTATTGTATATAATATACTCTTTTAGTTTTATTTCTTTAAACAACCTTAATATAAATAGATGAGCCTGCTGCAAATTTCACTGTTTGTAATATACACAGAAACATAAATTTGCTGTGCTTTAACAATGTGAGACTTTCTAAATAGCACTCTGTGAAGAATATGGGGAAGGTAGGTGTAAATATGCAAATTCCTATATGGTCATGAAATAAAGTGAAACATTTTAATTAAAATTTCAGATAAATAATTAGACATTATATACATATGTGTATACGCTTCTTTATTATAAATGTTCTTTAATTCATCAGTAATTACTTATCAAGTTTCCTAACCCCCTCTGGCTGGTTGCTAATAGCAAAAGACAAACTCAAATCTCAAGTACAAAATGCTACTACTTTGCCAAAGCCTGAATAAAAAAGAATGAGGCTTGCAGACACCTGCCTGTGGTGTGATTTGCAGTGAAATATTTACCCATTAGCTAATAGACTACAGGGACCTTCCTCAGCTTCAGGAAAACATCTTAAACCTTTCTGTCTGTCAAATAAGCTCATATAGTGCCTTATGCTCTTAAGCAGCCTTGGATACTGAAAATCTTCAGTCAGAGAAATTCCATGAGTTCTGTTTTTGATGTAGCTGTGGTTCACTGAGACATCAAATATTTTACGATGTATAATTGATTGGTCTTAAAACACTTGTCATTTAAAATGACATAGAAAATACATTTTTGCTTAACTTTAATAAATATAGGCAGTATCAGGTTTTTTTGTAAGTAATTTAAAATTTGCCAGACATGAAAAAAGTCATTTTACAGTGTGACAAAACTTTTTTCACAAAATGATTAAGGACAATATCAAATCAATGTATTAGATCTAACACTTCATAATTATATTGTAGACAAATATAAAAGAAAATTTGGAACTTGTCAACAGTTTAGAAAAATGACTGCAGATGATTTTAGAGAGGTTGAAGTAAACAGTAACAAATGAAATATTAACTTCATTAAATAAACTACATGATGGCTCTCAGCCTGGGCCAGTATATTTTGCTCATCAATCTACCATATAAACATTCAGATTCCTTAAATCACTGTAAACCTTCGCTGGCATCTCTTGGCTTACACACATCATGAGCATGAAATTAATTTGGCATATGCCTGTAGATAAAATTTAGGCATTTGCAAACATTATCTAGTTATATTCTATGCTTCTAGCAAATGAACTACTGGCTGCTTTTCAATTGCTCATGAAGCAAAACCTGTATTAGACTTGATGTCCTAAAAACCTGGGCAAAAACTAACTTATTTCTACCTCACCTCCCTCCTAACTACTAGTGTGACATGAGGAACTGTCATGCAAGCTTAGGATGAATGCTTGCTTGTGTCTTTTTGGCAAAATTTCAGGTAAGCTTCTAACAAAATCTAGCTTTTGAACAGCTTACCCATGAGAATTCAACAGTCCACTATGTATTAGCATATCTTCCTAATGCATGAACAGATTACACAATTTTTCTAAGATTCTCATTTAAGTACAGCAAAGAAGTCAGTAGAAATGTCCATCATGAAGTTTTCTCTAATGTCTCAATTATTTTCCACCATGTATTAATTTTTCTGAAATCAAATATCCATAATATAGTTACAGATGTAATACCCAAGGTAACTACCTTCATATAAAACAGTGATCACTGTACAGTAAAATACATATGTAAATATCAGCTATGGGATATGCAAATTCCTTTTCCATCATTAATTGAGACTCTTACAATCATTTTATCTTGTAGAAAAATATTATTGGACTCTAAAAATGTAAGGATGTTTTAAATAATCAGTATTTGAACTCAGTATTTTCTATACAGACACTATCTTCAAATTGCATATACATATACACATACACGTATATGTACACATACATATACGTGTATATGTATATTTACAAGATTGTGGACTTTCAATGAATCATCATATTAAATTTTTTTCCATTTTTGTTTGTGTGTTCTCAATATACTAACCACAACTACTTTTTTTGAAAATTGTTTGCTTACCTTATTAAAACTTCCTTTTAATACAGAACCTTGATCATTATTGAAAGGAAGTAAAGTTAGCAATTTTAGGCCATATACATAACTCAATTCATCTACATGTTATTCCCTTATAAAGTTTAAAAGAATTCATTGTATATAAAATAAAATTAGTATACATGAAATCAGTATAAATACCAGAGAGCTATATATAGACAATCAAAATAATTATGTCTGCCTGGTGTGATGGCATAAGAATGTGATAAAAATCAATAACTCTTGCTTGACATATTAACTTTGAGTAAAAAAGCAACATTTTAATTTGTTTGGAATGCCCATTACAGGCATTTTTGACCAAACATTAAAAAGGTCTAGGGTTTTTCTTCTAACAGCGACTGTAGAGTTATTCTATGACCATCCACAAAGAGAAAGTAGATGATGGGACGTAGTTCAAACCTTTCAAAGTCCTGAAGAGGATGGGATCAGAGAGGGGCCCAACTCCTTTCGCATTCCGAGCTTGAATTCGAAAGTAATACATAGTGTCAAGGCTGAGATCCATGATCTGATGGGTAAGCCGGTCACCACTGATAGTTTCCATAATCCAATCATCGATTGGTATATTCTTATCCAAGGTATAGAACAAGATGTAAGCTGTATAAGTAGACAAATGTGATTCTGTTTGGTATACAGAATGCATGTTGTAGTTCTCCTTTAAAAGACACACATGTCTCAACTATAATTTATAATCATTAGTATATGTCTATAATCTATAAACTACAGCATTCACTCTTGCTAGCAATGGCTTTTTTTAGTATTGTAAAATTTAGATAACAATTGTTTCAGCACACAAAATAAGAATATAGAGTAGACCATTAGAAAAAACATATCTGTCATATTTAAAAATTACTGCTTTTGCTACCTATAAATCTAGATTATGTTTTCTCTAATATATTAATATTATGAAAAATGTTAAACTGAGATAACATGTTTGTATAATATTTATGGAAGTACAATAAAGGAAAAGGTAATATTTATTTTAGCCATGCTTAAATAATAAAGATACGTTGGAAAGCATAAAATGCTGCAAATATTTAGAGTATCATATTTTATTGTTGCAGTGATCCTGTGAAGTTAAGAGGGCCTGGGTGGTGCTCCTTTTGCAAATAATGAAGCCAGCTGGAAAAAGACTGGGGTAAGATTCTCTACACTGTGCTTTCTAGCACTGTACCTTCTGTTCTACCTTAGGCAGGCAAATACATATCCTTGAACTGAAGATGGCATAGTTGTTATCTCAAATATTGGTACCTGTCATTGGAGGGCTTTAGTTCTATGTTTAAGAAGTGTGTTACTATAACAGGAACAGTACAGTAACTTATGGTTGTCTAATTTACATATATATTCCAAACTGGTTCGACTTATGTGATATGTATAGCTGAACATTTGTCTTATTGAACTTAGGTGGTATATCTTATTAAAAAGCATCAATGATTTTCACAGTTTTATGTATCACTCTCTTAAAATGCTGTGTTTCCTTTGAAGTGCTTTTGAGTCCCCCTTTCCTCCGCCTGAACTGTTGTGTATCTGCCAAGTTTAATTTAGAGTTCTCAGATTGAGTTGCACCTCTCCTCAGAAGTATCCAAATACTACATATGTGGAGAGTGGGGGGGGGGGGGGAGAGGTTAGGGAAGAGGGAGAGGGAGGAGTAGAGCACACAAACTCGGACAGAAGCATCTAGAAGTTGGAAAAGGTGAAAGAATATGATGGATATATTGTATGAAAAACTAAACTTTTAAATAAAAAGATAAGCAAAACAGAAATAAAAACTAAAAAATACTTTTGTCTCATTTTGCTATATTTATCTTTATACTTATTAATTGTGTGTGAATGCCTGTTTATATGCATGTACTATAATGCATCTGTGTAGGTTGAAAATAATTTGCATAACATAACATAATGCAACATAACGTAATATAATGTTAATAAGGACCAATGTGTGGAAGTGTAGTACACAGGAACATGGTGCCTATTGCTTGGCTTTCACGTACACTTACAATTGCTTTTATTTTTAAAAAAATTAAAATTACATGTATGTGCTTGGGTTCGTGTGTGTATGTATGGTTTTGTTACAATATTTTCTTGCATATATATATTCACAGCCATTACACTTCTTTGTCTCTTTTCTCTTCTTGATAGTCCCTCAAGGCTTCTTATCTTTCCTTCTTACTGAATTCAATACAGTGCATCACAATTTTACTTTAACAAATGGATCATCTTTATAGGTTTCTGATACTTTGACTATGTGTGTATGTGTGTGCATGTGTGTGTGTGCATGTGTGTGTATGTGTGTGTGTGTGTGTGTGTGTGTGTATTGTAAAACAGACAAAACAAACTCATCCAAAGTGATCACATTGGGAAGATGAACCCTACTCTACAGATGTATTCAAGTCCATCTCCAGGACCTAGCATGAGGGTAAGGTTTAAATAGAAGAGGAGATTTCTTAATGTAGGCTAGAATTCTAATGTTTGCATGGGAAAAGCAACATTCAGGCTTTCTTTTTCAGAGTTGAAAACACATTCTGTTGTTTACTTTGACAAGTCAAAGATTTATTTGAGTTCAGAGTAAGGAGCTTAGAAGTGGAAAATTATTTCGTTCTTTAATACACAGTTTCTCTCACACCTTGTTTTTATTTAGAGAATTTCTATTTTTTTCTTCTTAAAATATCTGTTTTTGACTTATTTCTATAAATAACTGTTCATAACTAAATAAAATATAAATAGATCAAAACCTATGAAGGTATTAAATGGAATCAAGGAAAGTAGACCAGAACACCAAGAAAGGAGACTAAAAAAAATTAATTGAAATGTACCAGCCTGAGTATTCAAAGGCCTGGCACACAGACAAATGAACACATATGCTCCAAGTGGAGGAATTTTATGTTTATATTCTGCCTCATATTTATTAGCTCATTTGAAAATTCTGTTTGCTATTACACTAAGAGCATTTTCCTAAGCAAAACAAAACTTTAATTTAAATTTCAATCACATTTATAGGCATTACATTTTCTTTTTATTTTGAAAAAATATCACAGCATAGCATAGGAACTGAGTTTGCCAACTGAAACTGTGTGTTCCTTGTTTATCTGCATCACAGAAGAACTTAGTCACTGTTGTGTGTAGCACTGCCATATATCTCTTGTGTTTACTTGTAGATGACAGGCAAGAGCCTTTTAGATTGCTAACCCAACAGTTCTACTTCATGGGGCCATAATGTGCACATTTTGAGTTGTATATTATTTTTCATGATAAGTTAATTCAATGACGATAGCTACTAAAATCCTAAATTAATGTAAATTGAATAGAGAAGGCAAACTGTCTAATAGAACTCCATTGTGTTTTTTTTAAATTACTAAATTAACATCATAGACTTCTAATGAATGCTTTAATTAGGTATTTTTGTTATCAGCAATATTTGATAAAATAAAATCTGTCACTGTGAAATAATCATTATGTTCAATTTCTGCCAGTCAATATTAATCATTTTCCAAACTTTATTATTAAAGAATGAAACTAAAAGCTAAATGAGAAGTTAAAAACCCAAGACAAACCTCCTTCATGTGTTGCACACAAAGTATAAGGCCATTAGAAACCCCTTATATTCTGTAATTCTCAACCACCCTGACTCCTTTTAGCCATTTGTATATACACAAACATTCCATAGATGGTTGTCTTAATGGTCCATATGATAAAATAAAAAATGCTTATCCTGATTGAAATGTACATAGTTTACACAGCAACTGAATGTGAATATGCACATGTGTGTACCTGCATCAACCCTTTGGAGAACTATTCCCTCAGTGGGGAACAAGAACAGCCAGTCAGAGAAGATGAGGTTATGAACCAAGATGCTGAGATAAACACTCCACACAGAGGCAAGAGCAGCTGTGAAGTAAGCAACTGTAAGCAACAAAGGTCAAGATGGGGCAAGGTTGGGAGAAAAAGCTGAATGCTTACCAGTGATCTTCCCATTGGCTTCCAAGGGAGGCTGCCAGCTCACAATGACAGCACGAGGCTTCCCCTCTCGAGTAATGACTGTCAAATCCTTGGGTGCAGAAGTTGGGGCTATGAGATGAGACAGAGACAGGGTCTTGTCATTGGTTGTGGCACTTTGTCATGATGCTAACAATCAGGATCTATCACTACGTGGATCACGTTTATTTTGCCTTTTACAATTAGTCACAACTCTTGGAATAATGCATGTCAAGGTGTAGAATTGTTGGCTTACCATGGAAGTCGAATGTCTTCCTAAGGTGTGAGTATAGAAAGGAAACATTGAGCTGAAGAACACAACAGGAGATTTTAAGTGAGCTCACACTCATGTTTGTATGTACAAAAATGTATGCTTAATGAACTGAGAAAGTGCATGCCTTCCATTAAGGACACTATTGCAATTGTAGTTTATAATTTAAGAAAAGAAAAACCTATTGAATTCCATGAAAAGAAAAACAAGAGAGGGAAAGAAAAACAGACAAAAATAAAACAGGTCAAATCTTCTTGTAGTTTAAATGATATTGTAAATATTTTCTAAGTGAGAACAGAAATTAAAAAAAACAAAAGTAGAAAGGAGATGTACTATAAGAGTTCTTTTGCTTCCGTGTGGCATAAAATAAGATAGTAAGAGACCCTGCCCACTTTAGATCTGTTTCTTTTAAACGTTGTGCAAAGTAAAATGTAAATATATTTTAAAATAGGACCAAATGTGCCCAGCCAATCCAACATCATCCATATTTCTGATGCTTTGTTTTTATCCAATTTGAAGACAGTTTTTCTTCTAAGCAGCAAGCAATGCTTCAATTACATTACCGTCAGTCTCCTCTTTTATCATTAGTTTGACACAGGCAGATTCGGAGGTATCTAGTCTCCCTGTTTTCTACAAGAATTTTCTGGTTTTCAGTGAATAAGAGAGATAGAACTTGATCTCTACTTGAACTCATTTTCATTCTGTTCTCCTTGGTTTTCCTAGTTGTTGTGTAGGATAGGTACCTCATTATATTAGCTATAAGACACTACCAGAGTATCTTCCTATGTATTTATACATATGAACCATGTAGGAAAGCTGCAAATAATTCCTATCTGCCATATTTATTTCCTCAAAGGCCAACAGAACTCTAATTAATCCAAAGTTAAGCTAATTTTGATATGTTGACAATGCTGTTAACATATTTAAATTTTCAAAGAATCATGTTGAAGACAGTGGACCTAAAAATGAGAAGAGGAAGAGAATAAGAAGGAAGAAAAAAGGAGGGACGGAATGGAGAAGAAGAAAACATGTCAAGAGGCATTATTGGAAGAAGAGCATAGATTTATAGCAAAATATAGGATACAATGGCATCTTACAAAAGATAATTTTCTTAAGCATTTTTTATGATATTTTATATCTCATGATTAGAAAGATTAGATATAGTCAGAAGTTGATTTAGCTATTATAGAAAGCATATAAGCGAGATTTTAAATTATGAAGGAAATTAAGGGATAGTAAATATTCCAAATATTCTTTCTTCTGTGACTTAAAATTCAAATTAATGTTTATTTAGAAGGTGGTTACTCAAAAATATCAATCTTCTATGACATCTGTTCCAGGTGTGTATATGCCTTTATCATAGCTGTGTGTGTGATGAATAGAAATTTTGGTAATAGAGTTAGCAGTTCAAGTATTTACAATTTCTCTATGAGCTGCACATTTTCCCCAAATATGTGGGGAAAATGGGCTTAATGGCTCCTAGCGTCCACTTGAGTACCTAATGGATCCCTCAAGCTAAGAGTAGGCATTTCTATATTTGTCAGTCTTCCTCTTATTTTTCCAGAGTAAATTTGTATTTTGTGATGTCTCCTATAATTTCAATATATCCCAAAATTGGTGGCTGCATTTCTTAGGTTACTTCATTGTTTCTCTAATATTTCTATTTTCAAAATGATTTTAATTTTCCCTTATATAGAGGCTGTAATCTCTTTTTCTTTTATACCTAGTATCTGTGGCAGGGCCTGGAAGTTACAAATGAACTTGTCATTTATCCTTTGTCTTAGAAGAAAAACAAGTCCTTCCCATACCTTTGGCTATTATATATATGTAGATTTCAGTTTTTACATTCTGTGCATGGACAGACTTAGAAGATTGCAGACATGGAAATTATACCAGACTTTATTATTGGGATTGTCAATGTTCTTCTGTCCCTCTTCCTTTCCAAGAAACATGTGATTTTCTTTTGGAAAAAATACTGTCTCTGGGCCATATGGGAATCATAGCTACACAAATTTATAATTTAGGATCTTTGAACCATCTTTCCTTTAGCTTTATTGCCACCTTTTGACATAACTATAAAATTTTTATCTTTTGAACAGTTGAATATTAATTGATAGAAAAAATGAAAGGAAGACATGTTATTTCAGAATGCCAGATTATAACATCATAGCAGCTATAATTGTATATAGCTGTGACTGGTTCCTTTTGTACCATTGTTGATATTGTTATTTTAATTAAACAAATCAGAATAAAAGATTGTCCATTTGAACAGAATGAAATATTTTAATTTAAAAATTTCCCTGTCACCTTTATGTTTATTGTGAGCCACTTCAGTTTGTGGCAGTGAAGTCGTAGAGTCTATATCTGATTAGAGAATTAAAACAATACCTCAAGTTACTCCATCCCCTTCATTTCCTCCTCAGAGTTACAGAATCTACAGACATTGCGAATTACTTCTTTCTTCGTTCTTATGTCACTCAGGGATCTCCTCCACATGCTATTTACACTTTTGTTCAGATCATTATCTGAGTTGACAATCAGTGTCTCTACTAACCACAGGTCTCAAACTTATTATCTTTTTTGTCTGCATTGGAACTCACCACTGGTGTCTCTATTGGGCTAGGTAGTTGATTAGAAATATTCAGGGTACATTTTACAAGCAAGATCCTGGTGTGCATCTTATGTTTATGAGTGGTAAAATGGATGAATTTGTTTGCTTTTATGTGAGATGACTAGTCCTTCAGTCAAATGATATCAGGTGTTGCTTTTTCTATTTTTTTGTAATTTTTGCTAGTTTATATTTGATTACATCAATGACTTTTGGAGTAAAAGAAGGAGGGATGTGATATTTTATGGTCCTGGTAGTATGCAACTCATTTGGCTGGTCTTAACTTTTTTAGAAAATGCAGACTTTGGCATCCAAGTCATAATTAATAAGGAAAAGCTTAATAATGTATAATAAATGAACTAAAAGAGAAGATGTTAAAATGAGACTATCTGGAAAGATTTTTATAGACAGAAGTACCTACAAAATAAAGAACTCCAAAAATTAAGGTATTAATTGTAATAACTTTATAGTTTTAACACTAAGGGACAAATTACAGTGGAAAAACAGAAATTTTGTTGAGTTGACAATTTTATTGGCATAATATTAAAATTTGAAAACAGTAGTGTATGTCACACACCAACATGCTATAAATATGAAATTAATTAAAATGGTTATTATTATGGCTGGAGAGGTTACTAAGTGGCTAGGAGTACATACTTTTGATCTCTCTCAAAGTGCATAAAGGTTTCCCATTATGTTACACTCTTTCCAAAGTATGACAAAGGCCACCTGAATACTACTTTCTATTTCAGTTGTTGTAGTTAGAATAAATATCCAGGAGGACAAAATTGTAATGTTTTACTTTGTCTCAAATTAACCAATACCTATCAGGACTACTGTTCAAAGCCACCCTTGTTATAGATAGCATTCACTAACTAGCTAGATTGCTGACCACCCCTTAAACTCAGTGAAGATAATTTATGTTCAGGTACAAGTTAATGTTCTAAAGAACTCATTCTGAAAAACCACTGATCAATCATCCAGCCAGTCTATTGAATCTATTGAAAACTTGTCTCTTTTATGGGAGTAAAAGAATACTATAAGACGCCGAAGTGCTGTGAATTCTACATGACACATTTAACAAAGGACAAGGTTCATTTTTGAAACCATACTAATTATATGCCTCAATTTCCACCCAATTACTGAACACTGATACCTAGGTCAAGCATGGACCTTGGAGGCAAGTGTCTCTTCACATACCAGCTTCGTAGGTAGTGGCATGTGCAGTCATGCTCCATGTGCTTGACCTTCTGTTCTTGGTCACCATGACTGAGAACTCATACATCGTGTTTGGCTTGAGGCCAGTTGCTGTGTAGCTGAGAGACGTTGTGTCTTCTGACTGTACAAAGCGGAAACAAGCCAAGAAATGAAAACAATATGAAATCTGTGAATTCAGTAACTCAAGACATGAAAAACAACTGGCAAATAAATCAGACAAGAGTAGATCCACTTCAAACTAGCAGAAGCACTGAACCTACTTATCCGTCAGCCAATATACACTTATGGGATGTACTTCTGAGACTTTACTGATTAAAAACAGTGTAGTGTTCCAAGGGGAAGGCAGTTAGGTAAGTTCCCTGAACCTGCCCATACCTGAGACAGAGGACAAAATGTGCCTTCAACTTCATTTAATACTTTTCTTGTGGGACCTGAAGTAAATTCATGTCTTCATCATTGAAATCTTTCAGTTACTTTTGTTTTGTTTTTGTTTTTTAAGTTAGTGTTTCATATTCTCTATTGATCATCATCATTTCCCACTACAAGCAATTATTTATAAGTATTATAGTGATGATGATGTTTAAAAAAAAACTTAGTTTCAAGATTTAGTGCTTCCAAACATCTATTGATCTCTTAAATGAAAGCAGAGCAAGAGTGTTTTTGTGTTGCATAGTGCTCTTCCTTTATGGATGGTTCACAAATAAGAGAACATGTATGCAAATGAAAGCAATTGATCAGCAAAGAAAAGCATATTGGATGAATATTAAAGGACATAACTGTATTGCAGAATGTTGTACTTTTGAATCCATTCTTTTTATTATAAATAAGCTTATTTACAATAGTACAAAATAAATAGATTGTGTCTTTCTTGCTTACTCAAGAACAAAAGGAATAATAAAGGGGAAAATGTCTGCTGGTCTCACAGATAAAGTCTATTTTCTACATAATTTGACACACTTTAAACTATGTAAATCTTTTAGAAATATCTACTTGTACTTGGTGGTAGTTATAGCTCTGTCTTTTCACAAGGTAAATACTTCCCATGGCTTCTATATTTAAACACGTGTTGGGTATTTACTTCTGAAAAAATAGCAAACCCTTTCTCCATTGGTTAATAATATATGTATCTCCTTTTTTACAGTAGTATGGCAAAAATATTAATTTGTACATCTATCATAGGTTAGGACATAGCTCTGAAAATCCTATATATTTTTTACATCATATAAAAATTAAAAGTAACATTATATCAATGTACTCATTCATCATATTAAATTGAAGATCTCAGAAACATTTATTAGAATGTTTTCTCTGTATACTAGTAGAAAGCTTTTGTTATAGCCAATTCTTCAACATAAAAATACATTGGAAACATATATCTGGTTGCATTTGTAAAAACAGAATAGCTGGGTAATGCTCTCTGAGCTTCCATTTCCTCAACTTTAATTTGATGTTAACATGAAAGACTTTATTTTATCATTTACTGTATGAAATAAGTGAAGTACAACACAGTGCATGGCCCAGAGCAAGCATTAATAAATGTCACCTACAATACATTATATTTTGTTTCATGTCAACTTTCATTACATTAGTTATATTAAATTCCAAAATGAGTTCTATCTTGGACAAGATACCAAGTCTTGCACAATTCCCTATATCCTATTATATTCACAATGCATCTGATAAGCACTATGTTACTGTCAATAATTATATTTTGAGTGGATTTCACATAAAACAGAATGTGATTAAATCATTGTAGAAAATGAAAAGAAGTTCATATTTTTGTAGAAAAATCTATATAGTGATTTTAGCAATCAGAATATTAGTGTCAGAATTACTGTCTAATTTGAGAAAAATGAAACTCAGTGATATGACAAAATATAGCAAAAGCACCTCTTGAATCCATACTATTTGACTGCAGAAGTGCCCTTAGTTCTATAATGAATATGTCTTACTTATCTTATAAAGCTATTATTCAATGAAAGATGACGTTCAGATATGGTTAAAAAGTACAAAGTACAAACCAATTCATCAATTATAAATAACAGTAAAATGTATTATACGTCTTTCTTGTAGACCGGTTATCCTCTTCCCTTTTCCTTGCTACTCCTCTACTCAACTCTTTTCTAGAGACTTCTTCATTGCAGTGCGTAGAAGAAATGTGTCTGTGCATATGTGTATGTGCTTTTGTGTGCAGTCATATGTGTGTGCATATGTGTACTTGTGTATGTGAAGATAATTATTAATAGTAAAATACACAATGACTTTAGATTATTGATGGGAGATGGCCTAGTTCAAATAGTTTGCTTGGTTTTCTTTTTCTTTTTTTGTCTGTTTGTTTTTTGTTTTTCGAGACAGTGTTTCTCTGTATATCCCTGGCTGTCCTAGAATCACTTTGTAGACCAGGCTGGCCTCAAACTCAGAAATCTGCCTGCCTCTGCATCCCAAGTGGTGGGAGTAAAGGTGTGCACCACCATTACCCGGCTGTTTGCTTGGTTTTCAAATTCTTTGTAATTCCATATCTGCTTTACTAACCATTTAACTAAAATTATTTGCCTCAAGAAATATTGGCATTCAACTGATGCTGAAAAAATTATAATCATTTTTTTTAAATTGCCACTTCACATTCTGCAAAACTCCCCATGGTCATTCAGTACACTGAATATATCTCCAAACTAGAGTAATTATAAATATAACCATCTTAAAGATGGAAACAGTCTTTTATAAAAATAAACTTAAACCCCAAACTTCTATGTCTAGAGATACTTTTGAATACTTTCACATGTTGTCTTCTTTTGCTTTCCTGACACTGCTGTCTTTCTTTATGGTTCTGTTGAGTCTAACATCTAACAATGTAAGGGGAAGGATGCCACACAATGAATCTCTTATCAATGATACTGTATGGACTTCCCTGGGGAGTTTTTCCTAATACCATAAGGGCAGCAATTTCAAAGGAAACTGTATTTTGTTTTCATTGATATTGTTTCAACTACAAATTAACTCATCCTAAAGCACAATGTTTTGACCACTTAAAAGATGAAAGATGCTAAAATGGATCCAGCACGACTGTGCATAGACAGTGAAACTAGTATGCTTTTGCTCTATTTCCAGATTTGGGGGCAGAAAAATCTCTGAAGACAGAGGCATCTCCCAAGTCCCCACTGACTTGAGGCCAGATTAGGGGATATAGTAGTGCAGTGTGAGGAAGGATCTAAATTCTCCTTAACAGCCATTCCTGGGGAGTGGCAAGCACAGAGATACAAGTGAGTAGGAGGAACCTGGAAGGGAAGGGTTAAGCTACTGGATCCCTTAGCTTTGGGGTATCATTCACATTCTTCATCTTTTTCTTAGCTGTAGAGGTCTCATACTGTATTCTAGGATGGCCTCAAATTCTTGCCTCAAATCTTCCTGCTTTTAGTATCCAGAGTCTTGAAATTATTGCATTCAACTTTATTTTTCCTCATGTTATCATCTTGTAAACTACTAACTTTGAGCCATATCATCTTAATGAATTATTTATGGATTCTTTGAAGCATACATCTATTGAGATGTGTGCATGCAGGATTCTAAGTTATATGTGTTAAGTAAGCAGACTTAAAGCTTTATTTCAGAATAAAAGATCTAGAACTGTTAGAGATATAGAATAGGCACTGGCTGATATTTCTTAGTTTTCTTTTTTCTTTTTATACTGTCTATCACTTATACCCGTTAGCCTGGTCTCAGGTTTAGAAGGCTACACAGCTGCCTTTGTAAGTAATGCTTTGTTAGAATCACTGAGCTTGGAGAGGAGATAAGGAGAGGTGAAATGACAGTGTCTCTTATATTACCAAGTGTCTCTGGGAGGAGTGTGAAAGGATTTGGAAATGAGTACAAGAACAGGTAGCTGGTAGAACTCTGGTTCATTTGAGGGATTTTCTTTACAATATGAGGGTGGTTTCTAAGCTAAATAAGGAAATCAATGTTATCAGATTACAATATATTTCTAGGGTGTTATAAAATATTTTCACACTGTTTATTCTGTTAAACTCTCTGTGAGTAGGTGCCTGTGATATTAATGGACATCAATTTATGTTCTAAATTAAAAGAATCATATCAGAATCTATTTAGATGATGTGTTTGGAGCCTTACTATTTCTAAAGTAAAAATGGTAATTTTTTTTTACACAGAATCAAATGTCAGGTATAAACAGCATATGGTAGTAGAATTCAAAGAGCATTTTTTTTTTTGCAGCTCCTGATATTATTCTACCTTGCCTCTTATTGATTTCCAAAGGCATAATTATTCTAATGAATTGTAGATGTTGAGTTATTAACATGCCTTATAGTATGTAAAAGTCACTGTAGGAAAATGACTTATGACAGACCAGGAAACATTGAACACAACTCCTCAAACATATAAAAGTTAATTTTAAATTCCGTGCACTCTATTCGACCTTCACCTTGTACTTGGCACTGGCAGAAAAGCTGGTCCTCCACCGAACAGTGTAAAGTCGCACATCGGATGTTTTCTGGTTCTTCGGGACAGAGTTGTCTGCCCAGCTGACCCTCACAGCCTCATGGGTAAGAGCCACAGCCTGTACACCTACTGGTGGGAGCATGGGGGTGGAGACATCTGGGCCCGAGGTGGGGAAATCATCAAGCAAAGGATAATAATCAACGGGGTCAGTGGGATCTGGGTTAAAAACCCATCAAATGAAACAAACAAATAAATGTGTAAACAAAGAATTAAAATAAATATCAGTGGCAACACATCACAATGAGTTAAATGCGTGGCAATAACGATGGAAGGGAACATGAGAAGAACAGAAAAAATGCAATTAATTATATCATAAAATATAATAACAGCATCACTATGTCATAAATTAATTATATTTTCTTATTCTTATATCTAATTAGAGTATATACCTTAAGACTCCAACTTGTTGGGATATGACAAATTGATTTTTCCAAGGTATTATGTAGTAATTTAACATGTTCATGATTTGTCAATGATTTTAAAAAACAGCAAAAATGATATTTATGGTTATTATTTTCCTGAAATGGAAATAAATGTTATTGGATACCTTAATTTTCTCCTTTATCCCTGATTTTATTAGTTTTTTTTGTAATGCTTTTACTATTGTCTGTATTATATCTGTATAGATTTTGTTCATTCAACACACAAATTATAATGAAAGTTGCTCAAACTATGTCAGTCTTTCTATCAATGCACATATCCAGTGTGAACAGATTCACATGGTTACATGGATCATTTTATATCTGATATACTATAATTTGGTGTGAGATGGCAACTGGCAAGCAGGTTTTCTTAGTCTGTATTCTTAAATTGTGGATGGGCTCATTCACCTGTATTCTCACACATGGGTTAGTATCATCTTTAGTCCTGTCAGGCCTTCCTATATTACATTCCTGATTTTAAAACTGCAAGTTCAGTGGAAAGAATGCACACCATTGGATAGGAAGACAAATTAACTACTTTCAGAATGATGAGATTTCCACAGAGGGATGCACATGTTCTGACCAATAACATGATTGGAATCTGAAGAATGTAGTGTGATCTTACAAAGTTCTCCAAAATCCCTTACACTTCTGCTATGCTATGACAAGCAAAATCAGAAACATACTTTGTGGCAATGGCAGTCATTCCATTTTGAGACATTCAAATTCATAGATAGCAGATTTAAAAAACTGACCGTTATATAGCACAGTAAAGAATCACAGTGACAAAAATTTAAGATTGACAGTGCAAAGCTAAGCCTGGACATTTGATGTCATTTAAAGGAATGGGATCAAATAAACCATAGAAGAATGTCCACAGCATCTTATACGATTTACTTTTTTCATTTATTTATTTTTTAAGTAGCAAAGTTCAAAGCTGGGTGGTTGTTGGCTACTCTGTTAATTAATTCCTCTGTTCTGAATTTCAAATTCACATTCCCCATGTATTTCCCATAAATTATTAAGCATGTTAATGACCTGTGGTTTGGAGAAAATATTTAAAAAACAGGAAAAAAAAACAAAAAAAACAAAAAAGAAGGAAAATAGAGGCAGAAGGAACTGGAGAGGGAAATGGAGGAAGGGAAGGGAAAGAGGAAGGAGCGAGGAGGGGGAGGGGAAGGGAAGGGAGAGGCAGAGAGGAGGGGGAGGGGAAGGGGAGGGAGAGGGAGAGAGGAGAGGGAGGGGAAGGGAAGGGTGTGAGGTTGGGGATTAAAATTTAATGACAGAGCCCAGGATTTTGTTTTTCTTTTGATGTCTCTTTTCATTAAGAGCTCCTTTAAAGCCAAATGGATTTATGAAATGATGAAGAAAGAACAGAAGACACTGTAGCTTCTACAAAGATTTGAATCATCCATCTGGTTTGTGAAGCAGGAAAAGATGTGTTTGCCAAGCTGAAATAAGTACAGGCTTCCACGTTCTATGCTTGCCTGGCTTTTTAAGAAGAGTTTTGTTAATAGAGGAAGAATAGTTCAATGTCTGACTTACTTTTAACTTATCTACATCATGAGTACTACCAACATTACTACTTTGCTGCACTTCGTTTGTGTTTCTTCTATGCATTATTTATAATGCTATGAAATCATCCGATTCTATGTTAGGAAGTTTAATAGTCCATTTATCTATTTATGATTTTAGAAAACACAACTATCCATGGCTATTGTTTATTGAGTATTTTAGAATCAATTACAAACTGACTCTGTTGTATTCAAAGCAATATTGTCTGTTGTGAATTATCTGTGGACCTAATGTGACTCATGAAATTTTGCCAATGGCCAAGTTTTATTTCCTTTCTTAGGGAATGCAACTTACTTTCATTATTTTTCCTGTGAATCCCTCTAGAACTAAGCCATATAATATAGTTTCCATATGTTCTGTGGATTATACCAACTTAAATTAAATAAGTAATTATTTAAGCATTTATTCTTTTTTTTTATGGAAGACAATGCCAAAACTTCCCATGGCCCTAGTAGCTCAGTTCCCACTGTAAGGGAAAGACCAGATATACTGCATCTACAATGGAACAGAGCATTCCAGGAGACAGCAAGAAACACTGTTTATATATGCTACACATACTACACATACTACAAGTGTTCTTTTCTATTCTGATTAAAATTTTTGGGTAATTGCTACTAAACTGTTCTTTAACATTTCTTTCTCTGTTAAGATGCCTTATACGCTGATGAATTTCAGAGGTATGTGAAGAAATACATGTGTATGTGAGCATATATGTATGTGTATTAAGGTAAGCTTCCTTCTGTAAAGCCTACACATGTATATATATTAAGGTAAGCTTTCTTCTGTACAGTCTACCTTCAATTTATCTAAGCTCTGCTCCCCTTTACTATTGTTATGTTCTTTTGGAGAACTGACTTTCATCCCTATAACCAATACCCCCCCCCCGTTGGTGTGAATATATATTAGCATGAGAAGTCAGTTCCTAATGTATTTTGGTAGCCTCCTGAAATTTTAGTCATTATACTTCTTTGAAATTGACTTTAAAATCAATAATAGCTTTCACCTGGATTACAGTTTATTTAAACCTTGCTAAAATAGTTAAGAAGACATTAATTCAAAAAATCTATTTCATTAACCTCTGGTTATTCTCTGGTCTGCACCTTTCCCTTCTCCAGGTGGCAAACAACTTGTTCTTACAACAACAGAAAAACAGCTTGATGAAAGAAGAGAGTCTTCCTGTGTGGGGCCAAGGTGAAGGTTTTAGTAGCTTGAACTGATATTCCTAGTCTGAGAAAAGGCTACAGAGTTTGCCAAAGGCTACTGGCACAGCATTTAGAACGCTACAGGGCCAGGTGCTCACGTTAGTCTAATGCTTTCATTGTCTTTGATATATTTCGTATATTCTTTTTGCTGGATTTTTCCAAGACTTCTCATGGGAATACTTTGCGACAACTCAAAGATAAAGAATGGTTTTTACATGACAATATGTCACATTTATAAATATGAGATTCTTTTAGAGCCCTGGCCTTTGATTCCTTTGATTTGCTCTTTGTTCTCCATGTAGTGTAGAAGCATAAAACCAATTCTACTTCCAGGTAAAGGTTTACTCTTTAGTGTGAAATGGCTGCGTCAAACATCCTTTTACAGCCCATTACTGTCTCTTCTTCAATAAGAAATTTCCTGACATAATTTTCAACTTTGGTATCACTTCATTTCTCAGCTCCATTAGAATCTGAATTATAATATGAAAATAAAACCTGTGTTATGGATCACTGGTGTTTGAGAAAACACTGTGGCATGCCATATGCTAAGAATTAAAAACTGACAGCAAATGCCACAGGGAAAGATGTTAATACCACAGATGCTTCCTTCTGCACATCTTACCTTCCGTTTATCTGAACTCTGCCCCCTTCACTACAGTCATGTTTTATTGAAAAATGTACCCAGCAGTCCCTATTTGTGGTATTTAATTTTGTTATCAATAAAGGAAAATCTTTGAAAGACTGTCTTTGGTGGAATTTCATGTCAGGTGATAATAGCTCAATGTCATCTTGACAATAAGAAACTGCTTAGTTTCCTTATCAGGACCAGGAAGGAGGGGATATGCATAAGGCCAACCAGAGAAATCCCAGCTGGAGACAGGGTACAGACAGGTTCCAGACAGTCTTAAACTTTTGAACACTCTGTGAGAAAGGTGTAGTGAAAAAAAATTCTCAGGCTACTCTGTAAATGGCACCTGAGAGCTTGAAAAGCAAGTATAAATTTATATAAATCTAGGCAGAAGATAGTAGCCATTTATGCATCCTTATCTGGAATTCATACTCCAGTAATCATTTGCTTTTTTGTGTTTGGTATCAAATTTGGAGCCTGACCTCTTAAACACTTCATTCTAATTAAAGTGAAAATGTATGGCCAATCAGATGAAGCATAAAGGATGTGGGTTTGTAGAAAGAGTAGGCACAAAATATTAATTGAAGGGACAAACTTTTTTTTTTTGGTCCAGGTTTTAGACAAGGGTTTGGTAACAATATTGTTAGGAGCAAAATGATGATGTGATTTTTCTGGGTGTCCACAAATGTGATACATATTCCATTTTTTAATAAGCCCAGTACTATTGAAAACCAGTCATTGTTCATGACTTAGGTCTCACCATCTTAACAGTGTCTCCTGGTCTTCTAACATTTTGGTATTGTTTGCTGCCAAACAAGTTAAACTCCTGTAGCTATTCTTGAGGCAATTAGTCTTTGAATCAGCCAGTCTCTTTTGCATTCACCTGTCAGGTTACCTATGGCCCAATTCACAATTCTTCTTTGTTATTGAGCTTAATACAATCAACTTCAAGATGCCAGCTTATCCTTGTCACCTATCTGAAGGATTGCATTGAGAGAAACAAAGGCCCATTGGAAATTTAGAGTCTTAGATCACATATCTTTCCCTCAAATGGCTGTGTCAAATGACAAATTGGTTAGCAGAATGAAGAATCACATCAATGCACCAAACTATGATGCTCCTAAGATGATTGGAAAGGCAAGAGCTGAATTCTATAAGTCCACATACTAATGCATAGAGTAAACACTTCTAATTCATCTGGGAGCCAAATGATTAAAATATATTGTATATATATATATTTGTGATAATTTTATATATTCATTTTTAATATTGTTCTTTTGTATTCTGTTTTATTTTTAAAAATTTTCTTCTTCTCCCCATAATCCAAGTTCTAACTACCTTGTCACAAGACAATTGATGCCGGGTACATACCTGTTATTGAACGGGTAGTGGCACTTTCGTAGAGAGGGACACCTTCTCCAGCATTGTTGAAAGCTTTTAAGGAGATTACATAATGAGAACTTGACTCTAGAGGAAAACAGAAACAAGTTGGGCATGTGAATTATTGTATTGAAATGCTCATGGTGATCATTTCCTGAAAATAAATTTAATATAATCTTTTAAATAAATTGATGTTTGAAAATGAGTGTATTGGATTCTGGGAACAACCAGCTCTAATGGAGACAGGCTTTCGATCTGGTCTTCCTGAATCTTCATTTGAGCATTAAATGCAAAAGAAGGTGGGAAACTAAGAGCATTAGCAGCTCTGCACAGGGTGGGTGATGATGTTTGTCTGCAAACACCAGAATACAACCAGTCTTGTGAGTTCCCAGCAGACAGCCCAAGGCCTCAAGTGTCAGCCATATCAGTGTCAGTTAAACCAAAAGTGAGTATCAGACTGGAAATAAGGACGATCCTAAGAAACTGTCAGGTAGTGAAGAAGGCAGAGCATATTTCATTAAAGAACAAATACAGACACTTGGAACTGACCAGTGAGAGATTCACTCCAAGGACAGGACCAGTTATAGTTAAATTATGTCAACTTGACACAACCTTAAGGCACTGAGAAGAGGGAATTTCAACTGAAGAATTGGCCATGCCAAATTTTCCTGTGATTACGTCTGTGAGAGACTGCCTTTACTGATGATTGATATGGGAGTAACCACACTAAGGAGTAACCAGGCTATGCTGGGAGGCAATAAAACCCAGGCAAGTGAGACTGAGTTGTATGAGAAAGATAGCTGAGCAAGAACCTGAGAAGCAGCTATCAAACAGCATTTGTTCATGGTTTATGCTTCAAACCACTGCTTCAGTTTATATCCTGAATTTCCTCAATTACAGACTGTGACCTGGAAGTATATATGGAAATAAATCTTTCCTCTAGATATATTTGTTCATGGTATTCATCATACCAACAAACAAAAATATAACCGGACTTGAGCAGGAACCAACGTCCCAGGTTCACGGATTCAGAGAGAGGAGTAAATTTGGTAGAAATGAAGGGCAATTCAATGAACAAAATTAACTGGAAAAGTGTAAAACAAAATCAAGAGAAGAAGAAAATATGTGGGAAAAAAAACTATGTGGAAAAAGAAATTCAATATGAAAGTTGTGAGTGCAGAACCCGAAATACACTAAGTGGATTCCTTAAAGAAGAAAATCACACATGAACAAGATAAATACAAAGGGATACATGGCATTTTGTTTATTTAATTGAAGAGTGTGGATAAAAGCGATATATGATTCATTGGGGGAAAATTAGATCATTATCAATTCTTATTATAAAAATAGCTTATGAAACAAAATTATAGTAATTTACTTTTTATTCTAGATAAGAAAATATAACTAAAGGATTGTCTCATTAAAGTTAGTTATCAATATAGTAGATGAGAATAGCCAAACTGTTATTCATTTCTAACCAATACATATCACTTTGTTAACCATAAGAACTAATAGGAATGAGGTTTAGACTTCCAAAATGACCAGAGCCAACTGTGACCAGAAAAGTAGCCTCTGATAACAAAGTCAATGAACTAAGGCTGAGTGATAGGAGAGATTTTATTTTGTAATGGCTTCGTGCTCTGTTACTATAATGATACAAGAATCAATGGATCACTATGGTGGCCTATATGCAAGAAACAACTGAGTGATTTTTCTGCTCTAGGACCTGTTCTAGTTGTCATTCTAAGGGAAGCAAGATATGAATAAAGCAATGAGCAAATATGTGGGTTACAATTCTAAATTCACTGTGTCCTTGAAGGCAAGAGTCTTGGTAGAGATGGAGGGTCACATAGATTTAAAACAGAATAAAGTCTCTTGTACCCTTTTTTTTTTTCTTTTTTCATTTTTTATTGGATATTTTCCGTTTTTACATTTCAAATGTTATCCTCTTTCCTGTTTCCCCTTATTCCCCTGAAATCCCCTCTCCCATCCCCCTCCTCTACTTCTATGATGGTGTTTCCCCATCCACCCACCCACTCCCACCTCCCCACCCTGGCATTTCCCTACATGGGGCATCGAGCCTTCACAGGATCAAGGGCCTCTCCTCCCATTGATGTCCCACAAGGCCATCCTCTGCTACATATGCGGCTGGAGCCATGGGTCCTTTCATGTGTACTCTTTGGTTGATGGTTTAGTCCCTGGGACCTCTGGAGGGTCTGGTTGGTTGATAATACTGTTCTTCCTATGAGGTTGCAAACCCCTTAAGCTCCTGCATTCCTTTCTCTGTCAAACTTGAATTACAAAAAAGGTTCAAATATTTTAAAAAGGTGTTTTTATCTTTGGTCAAGTTCTATCCACTTAAGAAGTTGAGAAGCATTGATTGATAATATGAAGCAACCTAGTGCAGAGGATGCAGTTGTATAAAACAATGTTGCCTACTGCAACTAGTAGGGGTTTTACAGAACTCATGATCTCAAGTTTTAAGATGGAAATGTGACAACTGAGTTTTAATCATCCTGACAAACTAGAAAGGAAGAAGCTAGCCAATGACAATGAAGATCTTCTGTCAAAACATTCAGGAATTATTGTATAGGACATTCCAGTATCTATCTATATCTATCTATCTATCTATCTATCTATCTATCTATCTATCTATCTATCTATATGAGATATGATATGCCAGGGCATGGAGGTGGGATTGGTTGGTTGGTTGGTAGAACACGAACATAGATGTAGGGGGAGGGGGAGGGGAGAGGGGATTTCAGGGGAATAAGGGGAAACAGGAAAGAGGAGAACATTTGAAATGTAAAAAAGGAAAATATCCAATAAAAAAGAAAAAAATGAAAAAATAATATAATAAATATATATATTATAAATACATATATGTGTGTATGTATAATATATATGTATGTTTATGTGTATATTTATATGTATGTGTATATGTATATATATGAATGTACTGATTTAAAGATGTATTTTAAAGAATAAAAGTTCAGTTCTGAAATTGACAGATAATCACATTATTATCTTGAAAACTGATAAGGAAATGAGCTTTAATCATGTTGTTTCATAAATAAACATTGTTTGAGGATGACTAAAAGCATGAGGATATCTTCAAACCTTCCTGGATGTAAAACCAAATAAACAAAATCGAATATTCCCGTTCCACAGTCTTAATGAATTAATCTAGGCATTAAATATTCATCATTTCCCAGATAAAACCAAGAGAAAACCCCATGCACTAAATTTCTTTCACAGAAGTTATTATTTACCTCCAAAGTCTTGACACAGGGCTCTAGCCCCTAGCTGCCAGAGCACAGCAATCAAAGCAGTGAAACATGCTGAAGCCAGTTGAAAGCATACATGTAACTACACAGGTCATGTTTGTACTTCTGTGCCAAAGTATCTATACAACTATAATGAGGCCTTACAACAAATGAATTCATGTTTAATGATGAATTTTGAAAATGTATTGGATCATCATAAAGTTTGAATGTAATTTAAATGCATATGTTAAAGATGATGACATTCAAAATAACAACATCCCCAAAGCTACAATATAGTAAGAAGAGCAAAATAGGGCCATAGCTCATGCAGCATGTTGGCCTCCATGGAATGAATTGCTTCTACTTGAAAAGAAAAAAATGTGTGTGTGTGTGTGTGTGTGTGTGTGTGTGTGTGTGTTTCTGCGTCTGTGTCTGCCTGTGTGTTGTCAAAGTAGTTTACTTTTAAGGAAACAATCAATATAAAATTCAAGTGTTCTTTGAAATTCAAGACTGGTTGTAAAACATTAACCTCTCTTATTATTGTAGTAATTTAATTCTGAACAGGAGAAAAAAGAAATACTACTTAGGCAAGAAAACATGCAATTTGCTTTCTGAATGTCATCTGTGATTTAAAGGCCAAAAGTGTTCATGAAGGATCAGTTCACAGGAGAAGGGTTTTTAGTAGATGTTTAGTCTGACGTAGGGCTTGTGGAACAAGATGGTCTATGGGACTAGAGGGATTTTAGAAAGTAAAAATATTTCAAGGGAAAACATGGGGAATCCTAAAAATACCCTTAGATATGGTAGAAAACCACTTCTTTCCTATGCCAGAGGATACTATTCTACTAAGTCCTTATTTCAGACAAACAATTCATCTATACATTGAAACACAAAGGTTTATATTTGGTATTTACCTGATGCAATATGAAATGGCTTTTTTGGTTAAAATTTAGTTTAGCTCAACCCCATTCACCTCTACCTTCGCATTTATCTTGGTTTTTATCAAGGGCATGAAAATGAGAGCAGGATTTTTATATTTGCATGCACAGGATCTGGAGCTATTTGTTCACCTGAAATTGCTTTTGGATTTGTTTCCTTTTGTCTAATTAGGTTGAGCGATGGAGAGTAAGCCAAACTCAGTTACTGCATGAAAGATCATGTGGTAGAAAGATTCTTAGGAACTGAGAATTAAACAATGATTCAGTTTGAGGATGCCATTAGTCCAAAGAAGGCAGTCAGTTTTGTGGAACTTTCTGGAATCCTAGACCTCTGTGTGAAAACAGCAACCATTTAAATATATGTAGGGTATTTAATTGAACTCCTACTGGTAAAATAGATTCTCATGAACATAGACCTACTACGCTCAGGAGATTGAGTATAACTTTAAGTCCTTTATAAGTAGGTTCTTTCCACAAGTATTGCCATCCTGAGTACTGGAAGAGAATGAATCCATAAGAAATTGTGTCTACTAGAGGGCATTGGGGTCACACAGAGCATGCCAGTTAAAAGGAGTCTTGTGCTTTCTTTGGCTTCTGGCTGGCAGTATAGTCACTTGTTTCTATAAACATCACCGGCATTACCATCTGCCCTCTGAGATCCAGCTTTTGGGCTCTCTAGCCTACATATTATGCTTTTGTTTACTTTTTGGACCTACTGAGGAAACAAAAGGCTTTTTCTTGTATACTAGGCTTGATCCAATGCTAAATGTGCCTGCAGAAGGAAGATAAACTTGTTAATCGTTTATTGGCAAACTTATGGGAAGCAAGAGATATTTTAGTAATATTTTTTGTATGTGGACAGAGGGTTATGATTTGAATGTGT